ACTTCATATATATATATGTGTGTATGTGTGTGTGTATTATCCTCGTGGGAGAGAAAAGTCGTCTGATATTTCAATTTATTTTTTCATGATGATGTCCAATATCCGAAGGAAATGAAAATCATTTATTTGAATCCTTAATCATACTTGCACCGATCCATCTGTCCAACGTTTCGCCTATAATTTTCGCACACACATCCTCAGCTTTCGCTCCATATGCACGGTCGAAAATGGAAACCTTTTTTTACCTTTGTTTGTTGTAAATTCAATTTCAGCTTCATCATCGATTCGTCGATCGTGTGCAGCAGTGTTACGTAAAATTCGACACGCTTTGGAAGTAATCGCAGCATTTTGTTCAAAACAGCACAACTAGGTGTTAATTGGAAATGTCGCGTAGATATCTATCGTGAAGAGTTGATGTAAATGCCAAATAAATTTGCTTTGTTTCTCTGGCTTCGTTACATTGATGTAGATGTACGAGTACTGTGTGCAAAATGTTTTTTAAAAGTATTTAAATACAAAATGCAACTACTTTTTTGATTTGTTATTTCAAATGTAAAATACAAAATAGATTTCCCGTTTGTATTCCAAATGCTAAATGCAAAATACGTATTTTCAAAATAGTGCTTTTGTAGTGCTTCTTTTAAGTAATATTCTGTATAAGTATAAAATATTTTTTAAGAAAACCTTGCTCATTTTTTAAATATTTTCTAGACTAATAGTGGTGTTTGCACTACATCACCAGCTGCGAAGATTAAGTATGATTCATATTTTTCTGTTCGAAGTGATTGAGATATACTTTTTCTATATTTATGTTATAGTTTCTTCAGTTTAGCAACAAATAATTCATCTAGACTAATACCGGAGTTTGCAATATATCACCAGCTGCGAAGATTGAGTATGATTCATATTTTTCTGTTTGAAGTGATTGAGATATACTTTTTCTATCTTTATGTTATAGTATCTTCAGTTCAGTAAAAAATAATTCTTCTATATGCTTTCTTATTTACCTTTGTCACCCATTGTAAATGGAAAAAAGACACTGATGCCAAATAGTTTGTTTGCCGTGAAAGATCAGATCCAAAATAGGGTTGCAAATAATTTTATTGATGGAAAAAAGACATTAATGCCAAAGTATTGTTTGCCGTGAAAGATCAGATCCAAAATAGGGTTGCAAATAATTTTATTGATTTAAAATCAACATCAATCATTTTATATCAGAATATTTGCAACCCCATTTTGTTTCCGATCTTTTACATATTGTAATAAGAGAAAGAAATAGAATCCATAGTTTCTTTAGCTGTGGGTTCATCTACTAAGTGAAGTTTCTCGGATCGTTTTCTTAAAATTTTGGATTATAGGCATTTACTAGCACACCACAATATCTTGTCGTTTTCAGTTTTACACAGCTCATAATTTGTAATTCATAAAATTTCGTAGTTTCGTGCTAATGGTACGATAAGTGGTGATTTTAATGATATTAATATGGAACATCAAAATTCTACGGACCATAACATACACCCGGAAAACAATATCGATGCAATATTTTAGATTATCCTTCAAGGAGTGTAGAATTTTTTGGGCTCTCTTCAGATAAAGAATTAAAAGGCATTCATTGAATGTCTTTTTGTCTCCTTTTTAAGCTTCTAATCGCTGATACTGGCAAAACGTCTAACGGCATTACATTTTACAAATAGAAAATACGTTTGGAAAAGTATTTTAAATAAAATATAAAATGCTTTTCTCAAACAAATATTTGAATGCAAAATAAAAATAGGTATTTTTTATTTTGTATTTGCATTTTAAATGCAAGTATTTCAAATAAATCATATCTCTGGTAATATGTATAGTAATTCTGGCATGAGTCGTTTTGAGTTATGTAGGATTTAGTGAAATAAACGAAGGTTTTCACTTCGGAAAAATTTGTAACCGGGTAGACATTCATGAACAACATTTTTCAAGTATGCTAGAATAACGTAGTGAGAAGTCTACCGAAATCCTATTTTTATTTAACAATTTAAGAGCAAAACTTATTAAACTTTATTTATACGGAAAAACTGATAATGCCATTCCAAAGAACGAGAAATTTTACAAAAGACACATATGATTCGTATTTTGTGTATTAAATTAGAGTTAACAGAAATTTATTAACTAAGGACTCAAATGACGCTCCCCGAACATCTGCTGACGCTAAAATAGGCAAATCTGACATCAAATTGGTAATCAGCATACCCAAAGACTCCTAGATTTTTATGATTTTTCCTTAATTAATTTTCGAGATATAACTAACAATTAATTTTGCAGTTTTGTTATTAATAAACAAATAGAGATTTAGCGTACAACACCAACCGGTAGACTTTGAACTTTAACCTGTTTAGAACACATTTCAAAAGTTTTTATGCAGTTGCTAATCATTCCTAAACGATGCTTCTCTTCTGATTGCGTTTACTCCACTGATATATGTAGATATTTGTTGTTTTACATTGTCATTATCACATCACCGTGAAAATTGCCATTTGGATTTTAATGTAGGGTTTGATATTATTAATAAATAAGTACAATTATACATTAAAATCCATATACGTATTTATATTTGTTCGTTAAAAAGCACCATTTGCATATATGAATAATGATGCAAGTTTTCNCTTACCCCGGGCATATGGTCTACCTACCCCGGGCCAGGGGTAGATTGACTAAGATTTAATATTTTGTAAAATGCATTAAATCATCACTATTATACTAAACTAAGAACTAAATATTACATATTTTTATTAGGTTAATAGATTTTCTATCAATTAACATGCTTTTCTTGTCTATATTCATTAAAACACAAAAAATATGAACTATTCAGTAAAAAACCAGTCAACCATCCCCGGTCTCCCCTACTGATTGCTGATTCGTTTACCAATTTCGGCTTAATTATCAAAAACTAATGAGAAGCGATGTGAATCGGTGGGGCGACCCTTCGCCCGTCGAACGACCATGCCTGGCGGATCGGTTCGACTAAGAAATTATCGAACTCGAATGTTTCGACTGTTGCACCACGCGAACTGTCGACCGTTGCACCGCGCGAACTGTCGACCGTTGCACCGCGCATATGGTACACGATGAATTTAGTCGGACGACCAACATCCGTGCCTGGTGGGTCGGTTCGACATCCAAATCGTCGAACTCCAACGTCCCGACCTATCCGAATACAATCTTAATCACCAATTTTTATTAGTAGGCTTTTAATTACTACACTTAATAAATTATTATTGCTGGTATTTGTTTTTTTTTTCATTTTGTTTTGGTAGAACTACCCAACTCTGCCGACTATCCGGCATCATTATCCTCTACCCAGGTGAATCCTAAACAAAGTTCCCGATCAGTCGGGTACCGAATCGAAACGAGGTACCCGGCCCATCTTTAATTAAAGCTTATATGTATATGCAGAAGTTTGTTGGCTATCACAGCGGTCAAAGATTGTGTTATCACTGATGAAGATGCTGTCAGTAATAAATATCGAAACGTTTACAAAGCCTACAACAAGACCACGTAGAGATTTCTTTTAGATTTTTAAAAAGTTATTTTTCAAATACGTAAACATTTCGGAAACGGGGCTTGTGCTTATTAGCAGTTCTTGTATTTGAAAAGTAACACACTAATGCGAACTTTCTTAAAAAATCTGTTCTAATTGATACAAGGGGTAGGTAATTTTCTGGAGTATTGGTATGCAAGAACATATGTGAATGACTGCCTTAAAGACTATTTCTCTGAAAGCTTTCTATGCACATGAAATTCTTGACGAATCGTGCTTTTAGGTTCATTTTTTATTCCTTTCAATTTCTCAGGAGCTGGAGAACCCGATCCAGTGTCAATTTAGGAGGGGGGCAAATCTGTGCATTGTAGAAAAACGAAATTTTTTAGAAGTGATAGCTGTAAGGATTTTTTTAATAAAATTAAACTGAATATTTTGAAAAGGTTTGAAAAACGCTCAGTGGAGTAAATAGATCCTTTTTAAGAGGACATTTACTTAAAATAAAATTCAAAGTTTCCGTGATGCACTTTTTAAGAAAAATGATCTATGTTCTATGTACGTCAACATTCTTGTTATCTAAGGTCAGCATAACACAACGAGGTTTACATTTTATCTTATTTTCTAAACTTGTTGCAAGATGTATGCAGACGTTTTAATTCTAATGGTCTAGAGGTACCACACGCAAACTGACACTAGCTCTATCGGTCACGGAGTCACGGTGCCCTGATATCAAATTCATTAAATTAATCTTCCTTTTTTGACTTTTTGCCTTCGGAATCAAAACGGTTTTACTAATGTAACTAAATGCGTAAAAGCATTCTTGCAGATATGATTAACTAAATATGTTCAAATTTCGATATCTATCTTTATTTTATAACTGTTATAAATTTTCGTAGTTCCATACATTAATTACATGTATTGTTTTTACATTAGCAACGCAAAACATGTTCACTAGCATCGCATACAATCAGAATTGTTTAATAAAGTAAAGTAGCTATAAAATTTGATTTTAACGTCCCCATGAATTAACACCCACAGACGTATATTGCTTTGAATAAATGGGATATTTATCCAAAACTTCTGTTATTACTTCAAGCGCTCTGTCGACAATTTCCGGTCTGCAATTATATCCCATTATGCCAATTCTGAGACATTTACCATAGGTAGGGCCAATACCGAAACTGATATCGGTATGGAGTCTACAAAAAATTACTTATTGCTGCGGTACATATTAAATATTTCCCATCTTACACATCATAAGCATATCTACAAACTTTCTTCACATCTATCCCTTCCGGTAGAATTACCGTGGTGACATTTGGCAATCGTTTCTCTTTATTCGGTACCCACAATTTTAAGCCCATCTTTTCTAATCCAATCCACAGGCGTTCTGCCATTTTCGTTTGATTTTCCCACGTGTTCGCCAGACCTTTTTCAAGTAGCTGAAGAAATGCTTCACGAATTGCGCACAGCATGTTCGAATTCCATGTGTAGTGGAATCTAAAAATAATTTCTTTTGGAGTGTTTGTTAGGCCGAATAAGGTTTTTCGTGTCGAAAGTGGATGATCTTACCCTGCGGGACCATCATTCAAACATCTCCAACAATTCGCAACTTTTTTCGCGTGTAAGTAGAACGGCGGATTTACTTTTTTCTTATCCATTCGCTCCCTGCAAATTGTGAAATTATATACTTTTATCTTGTTTGACATCGTCGTTTTCTCGTTAAAAGTAAAAACCATCAAATATAAAAAGCGTAAGTTTGTCGTTTTGATTTTAATAAGCTCATTTTATAATTTTGAAAATTGACTGGAAGAAGCTACTAGAATAGAAGTAATTATTTCGCCACGCAGTAGCTTCTTCAGTATGATAAGTCCAATAAGTAACTAAGAAAAATGTGTTGTAAGTTAAACGTTGTCTTTGTTTTCGTCGTTTCAATTTGATTATCAAGTGTTGAAGGGTTGTGAATACATATACTGACAAACACGGGGTTGAACAAGGGTGAGCACTGTCCACTCTACAAAACAGTACTTAAAAAAATGTACATATTTTATGTTATAACCATAACATATTTAGTGTTGAACGTCTAACGCGTGAATTATTTAAAATGTTGCCAAAACTAAAATGTAATTTCCATGCACCGGCGAGAACAGTATCCATTACCTAAATTTGGATAGGCACAAGTAATTTAATAAATAAATTGATATTTGTTTTTCAAACTTCGACAACTCTGGCCTTCCCGAGATAAAAATGTTCAGTCTCTCAAAGTCTCTGAAAGCGAGACTCGAGTCTCCGTCTCTCGTCGAGTTTCTCTGGTGTCGCTGAGAGAGACTGTCGAGAGACTGTCAAAAAAACTGTTTAGCGTCTCTGAACGAGAGACTCAAGTCTTCATTTCGTATCCACTCTCTAAACGGGAGAATGGAATCTCTGAACGAGAGACTAGAATCTCTGAACGACAGACTCGAATCTCTGGATTAACTATTTTATCGTTCGAGTCTTTCATACAGAGACTGTGAGAGATCCATAAAAACACGTAGGCAATAACTGAAAGACTGTGAGAGACGCTCTCAGAGACGTTGAAACTGAAGAGAGACTGAAAATTTTTGTCTAGGGTTACTAGGGGCGCTATCAAAAAATTGCCCAGGGGCGCCGTGATGCCTAAAGGCGGCGCTGCCTTGACCGCAGCACAACAGCGCAGAAAAAAGTTTTTTGCAACATGTTTACAAAAAAATTGTATTAATTTTTAAATGAACACTTTTGTCTTACACTGCACGTTCACTGAACGACAAAAAAGTTAATCCTGGAGGAGCAGCTAGTCCTTTTTGAGGCGCTCCAACTATTGCATCAATTTCCCATCGATCTACGAATAAGGGGACTGCTGCGAATGTAATTATAGCATCAACAGCCAATAGACAACCATGTCTGTTAACAGCATGAATAAATAATGTAAGATAATAGTTTTTATTAGAGTAAACTAATACGTATCTACCTATGGCAAATTTTACTTAAACCTTCTAGAGGTTGAAGCACACCTGTTGATGTTTCACCATGGGATATGAAAAGGAGAACTGGTTTATGTTTTATTATTTCTTTTTCTAAGTCTTCAAACTTAAAAGTTTCATTCGATGGACCAGGAAGTCGAACGACTTCCAATCCTGAAAAACAACAAAGTTCATTCACTTAAAAGTAAAATAATTGACCTATAAGGTGTTGTAAATTATTTACAACTACTAAAACAATGCATTAAATAATACATTTATGAGTTTATTATGATTAATAATATCTAAGTTTGCTTTATGGAAACTCATGATTCACTAAAAATAAATGTTAATTTCCTCAAAATGTATCTAAACATTTTACAATTATTTTACTTCTGATGAAACGTTAGTAAGGCGAAATATTTAAGCAGTTTTAATATATTTTGTAGAAATTGACATTTAGTGTTATTCATTAGGTGACTTATAATTTTATTATTGAATTAGTGACAAATCGGTACTCTTGAAAATGATCGAAAACCAAAAAGATTTTACCGTTCTGCGCAATAAGCTGGAGAAAAATCCCATTTAGCTTTTATTTAATTGTGAATTTTTCAACAATAAACAAGTACTTCAAACATCAATGGAGAGTGGGTGTGATAAGAGTAATGCCAAATTATGACTTTTTCAAGCTTTTACAATCTACGTCCGTTCCGTAACTAACGTTAGACAGTACCGTCTTACATTTTCCATCAAAAGCTACCCGTTAGTGAAAGTTTCAGAACTTATGAACAGTATTTTATAGCAAACGCGTGAATCTATGAATACTCCAACCCTGCTCTAGCAATCGCAACAAGAGCTAATTCAATAAAACACAAAAAACTCACCGTAGTTTTCGGCCATGGCTATGGCTCTATCTGCCCAAAAACCGTTGGTTGCTATCAATACCTTTTCACCGGTGTGCAAGGTTCGTGAATATAGTTTCCATGCCTCCATGACCAGCGTTTTGCTCACAAAAAGTGAGTTTGTTTTTCGTTTGAAAGACGTGTTGCACCATAGCTTTTATATCATCTATGAGCTAAATTATACAAATATAGTGCGAATTGAAAAAGATGCATTGTATTTAGCTTTTGGTCCGCTTAATATATAAATATTAATGTAAATGAATGGCAAGTAAATATTGGTGGAGGTTCCGGACATTTATTTATTCCACTTCATCTACCTGAATCAACTTTTTTGACAAAGTAAAGATTAGAAGAATTTTTTGACGTTGAACCCGATACCTTACAAAACTTTGGTAGATTGACAGTACAAATTAATAGTATTAGATCACATGTCTCGAATAAATGTAACCCATCAGTGTAGTGAAAATTATAACATGAAGAGGTCAGAAATAAACCGTTGACGAAACGTTGCGACTAAGAATTGTAAATTAATTTCAAATTGTTCCTTTACATCATTAATTATTTATAAAAATCATTAATTGTGACCAATAGATATCAATAAAATTAAAACATTTAATGAAGCACAATTCTGTTCGTTCTTTGCGACGTTTCGTTTTTAAACACAGGTGCCTGTGCATCAAAGCTGTCGAAACGTCCCAAAGAACGAACAGAGTTGTGCTTTAGTACCAACACCGATTATTATCAGCACTCGATTGATCGTGTGCTTATGCACTAAAGCAATATTATAAAGAACATGGAGAGCGAAACTTCTGACTCAATCACAAATTATATTAAACATAACTAACAAACGATTTCAAACTCAATAAGAATGAAAATTATTTTTTACCATTTTTGCCACTTCATTGTAATCCTGGTCAGGAAGAGGCACGAACGTGGGCATAGCCAATGCCCTCAGGGTTCTCGGTGAACAATTGGTAGGCCCAGCGGTCAGTAAAAGCACAGGTTCCAATGTTAATGGCTCTCTAGCGAGTATATCCTTAACGTCGTCTTCTCCATAATCCAATTTTGACTTTCGATTGGACATCGTATATGTACGTGTATATTTATATATTATTACGGGTATATGCAAGCATGCGATCTATGCACAATTGAAGTTGAAGCTAATTTAACAGAATTATAGAGATGCACTTACGACCACGTGACTCGATATAAACTTATCTTATTTACATTTAATTCGAGCATGTGCCACAACACATTTCCAAACATGGATAGAATAATACTGGTGTTTAAATGCAAAACATGTTTTGTCTTTCTAATATTTATAAGTATAAGTATTTAAATGTCACGCTAACAGTATCTATTAATGGCTAAAAATACAAGAGATGACCAAGAAGTAAGTAAAATACGAGGGTGGATTGATAAGTTTCCGGCCTAACCAAGAGATGACGCCACTAGGCCTACCTTGAGGTGACATTCTATAGTACCATCCTTGGATAGCTTGTAGCTATAGTTTCAGCCCGATCTCCTTGCTAGTGTAGGTTTGACAGCACGCTGAACAAGACGCCTCTGTGGTTTTCGTAAAAATGGAAAAGCAGGAAAATCGTGCTGTCATCAAATACTTTTATTTGAAGGGGTTAACGCCGAAGGAAATTAAAAAAGAGATGGACTCAACACTGGGGACATCCTCCCCGTCATATTCAACCGTTAAGCAGTGGGTTTCCGAGTTTAAAAAGGGTCGTGTGAGCACCTCTGATGGGCCTCGCTCAGGACGCCCCGTTGAGGTCACAACTCCAGATATGATCGAAAAAATTCATCAAATAGTGCTGGGAGACCGCAGATTGAAAGTGCGTGAGATAGCTGAGACCTGTAAGATGTCATATGAACGTGTGCAACATATTTTGCACCAACATTTGCATATGGAAAAGCTCTGTGCAAGATGGGTGCCGCGTTTGCTAACAGTCGACCAAAAATTGATTCGAAAAAACATTTCTACCGCAAATTTGTCATTGTATAAGCGTAATCCAAGCGAATTTTTGCGTCGATTCGTAACCGTTGACGAAACGTGGGTCCACCACTACACTCCTGAAACCAAAGAACAGTCTAAACAGTGGATTGGACCAGGGGAACCAACTCCAAAGAAGGCAAAAACAATTTTTTCGGCGAACAAGGTTATGGCTACTGTTTTTTGGGATGCAAGAGGTATTATATACATTGATTACCTTGCAAAGGGTAATACTATCACTGGTCAATACTACGCAGACTTATTGCAACGTTTGAGCCACGAGGTGAAAATTAAACGACCTCATCTGGCGAAGAAAAAAATCTTGTTTCATCACGATAACGCACCAGCGCACACGTCAATCGTTGCGACGGCTAAAATCAACGATCTAAAGTTTGAATTGATGCCGCACCCTCCTTACTCTCCAGACCTAGCCCCGAGTGACTATTTTCTGTTCCCTAATCTCAAAAAATGGCTTGGCGGTAAGAGATTTGCGGACAATGAAGAAGTAATCGAAGCTGTAAATGGTTATTTTGAGGAGCTTGACGAATCAGTCTATAGAGATGGCATTAATAGACTGGAACACCGCTATGAGAAATGTATCAGCCTTGGAGGAGATTATGTTGAGAAATAAAAAAAAAAAATTTTTAAAAACCTTGTTTTTCTTGGTCAGGCCGGAAACTTATCAATCCACCCTCGTAAATAATCTGAATTTTATTTTACACAGAAATAATTCTGGGGAACACAATAGATTTCGAGTTAGCACGATTACAAAAATAGGAATGTTTTCTCCGCACTTGAATCCCGAATTAGAGAAATGGGGAGATTCAAATAAAAGAATTAGGAATAAATAATATGTACCTTCAGGGAAAAAGGGGCCGTTCAAATATTACGTAAGCAGATTTTATACAATCATTTACCCCCCCATCCCCCTTGTCAGCAAAAGTAAGCAAAGCTCTTACCCCCTCCTCCCATGCTTACGTAAACATTTTTCAATTATAAATGTATTGTAAATAATCTTTAAAGCCAGGAATCGAACCCATCACATAGAGAAAACTAACACACTGTATTTTGTGGCCAATTGACGGAGTCAATCTTAAGAAATAAATCTATATAATGAATATTACCTCTATACTTTGCGATAGGCCATAATATTTTCTAATCATAAAACGTCTAAATTATTGTTATACAATGTAAAGAGAAACTATTTGGCGATTTCTAATATTTCTAGTACTTATAGGTACCTAAAATGATTTCGTAACTCACCTTGGAAAAAAAATGTAGTAGATTGGATTTATTCTTAGTCGCCGCTTGCAATTCTTCTTCAATTCTCTTAGATACAATAATATCTAGTTCCTTGTCGGACTTTGCTTGTAATTTATAATTTCGCCACACTTCGTTAACTAACTTTTGTACATTTTGTACTTTCGTACTTGCATGAGATTTTTTAAAACTTTGAAACAATTTTTGGTATAACTTGGATTTGTCTATTTGAAACGACATCTTATTTAAACGTTAAACTTTGGCTAATGGAATCAACGGTAACACAAATGTTAACTTGCTTTGCTATGCTTACAATACGTCTACTCGCTATAGTATCCAAACAAAACAATACACTAACGGAGAAAATTTAGACAAGTGAATAGCGCGCGGTAATTCCCCTAATCGGTTCTAAAGCGAGTGCCTAAACGTATGCATTATTTGCGGGAATTTTTAAAAATGCGTTTCGTTTTCAAGCATAGACAATGTGAGGGTTGCCATTTGTGTAAAAAAGTAAATAACTACCGATGACGTAATCATCATCTAGACTCCCCTACCCCCCATGTCATCCAAAATAAGCAAAACAAAGACCCCCC